AAAAATAGATTCAAACACAAGCTAAGCCCTGTACGCAGGGCTTAATTCAAATTATTATGTCCGATCAGTATTATAATTTTGTTGTTTCCCCTCTAAATTTGTGTCAACTATTTTGATAGGACAAATCTCCTACCCATGTCAGGAGATCGGTCGTGATTATTTTGATTAGTACTCTTTATTTCATCATTTGAAAGAATAATATTCTTAATTTAAACAATCATATTATATGTATATTTTTTTTAGATTGTGTCACGTTTCGATACATGATTAATTAATTGAATAAAAAAACACACTTTTCTATCAAACACTTTTCAAATTTCGTTTTGTTGAATGTAACCATGAAATATACTTAGCATAATTCTAATTTAAATAAATGACATAGGAACAATTGTACTTATCATTGTTTGGTAAGTACAGGTCATTGTCAGATAAATAGTGGATCAGAATGCAAAATTTGGGGGGCCATTCATGTAACCACAAAATCTAATGGTCCAAATACTCCTTAGCCTCTACCAATGTCGACATTTCATAAATACCTTTTTTTTAATAAATCGCATACAAACAAGCCTAAAGGTATCCATAGTTAATAGACATAACATATGATCTCTTTTGTTATTCTTTCTTAGCATCTCCTTTGTATAAATAAGTTTCAATATATTTTTAGATCTTCGTATATAATTATGTCGCCTACACAACAATGGTTTTTATAGATTGTTGAAATGCAAAAGAGATTGCAAGAGAGGAGTTTAGACTCAGTACGAATGTACCATTCGAAAAAAACAACCACTCATCAACAGGAGCGGACCCAGGGGGTCCTGGGGGGCACGTGCCCCCCAACTTTTGAATTTTTTTTTTGTAAAGTTATGTTTGGTATTGATTGAAATCTAAATTTTAATCTAAATTAAATTTAACAATTAATTCTAATAGCATATTTCATTGAATCCATAATTATTTAACTTTTATCAAAATTTATTAAAAAATTAATTTTAATCTCCACCAAATAGGGAGCAAAATCACAATAAATTTGAATTTCGATAACAAGCTAATTTTAAAAATTCTCCAATAATCTTACACTAATCGAATCTACAAATTGTTTATGTCATCTTAACGCTTAATGGGCATATCTAATAGTCCAAACAGATATCAAAAATAGTTAAACGCAAGTCTTAAAGAAAGACTTCTAACTTGCATTTTTAAAAAAAAAAAATCAATTATTTCATTAACATTTATTATTTTTGAGATACAAAATTCTCAGTGTAATTTTCATCATTTTATTAGGAAATTTTATATGGAATATGATATCAAAAAATTTTGAAATTTTACACCCAAAAAAGTCATATCTCATGTAAATTTTCGGATGCAAAATTACATGGGGTATGATTTTTTTGAACGTAAATTTTCGATTGTAAAATTTCTTCCAACTTCTTTGCAAGTTCGATTGTGCCCCCCTAACTTTAAATTTTTGCGTCCGCCCCTGCCATCAAGGGACATTATATTTTATTCCAAGAAACATTATGGCTCTTTGAGAACTCTTAGTTCGCCTCCTAAGATTTCTCAATTTCTAAAGTCCAATTGAATATCTCGATCAAAGATCAATATAATACGCTATTTTTCTCTAGAGAATCTCGTTATATTACTGCATTCAAAAGTTGCATCGTTCCTTTCTAAGCAGTAGTTGAGACCTGCAAAAGAAATGCGAACTCAAAAAGTACATAAAAATATATATATAGATTTATTGTTTGCTCCATTTTAGTGCTATTTGGGTCAATTTTTCTATTGCAAATCACTCGCAATTGAACTTGAATTTCGAATTCGGCCCAGTTGCCTAAGACTTGATATTTGCTATTCTTAAATTAAACAAAATTACTAGAATTTATCTCTCACCAAAAATAAAAATTAGAACACATTTTTTTATTCTAAAAAAAAGTTGATACAATTTTGAGTATCGTTTTATTTTGCACAAATCAGGTCAAGGATTATTTTTGTTTGGGATGTCACAAAAGAACGAAACTTAACTTCTTTTTTTTTTTGTAGGAAATAAAGCATGAAATAGTTCTCAATAGTCGCATAGTTTTCTCCGAAATAAACTTAACAATTGATGGATTTTTCGGCAACTTTTCATAACATACAATTCGACCCTTCTCATTAATAAAAATGTAATTTTGAAGCGTCAAATTCGACACGTAATTACTCATCAAAACCTATACAAAATTCATGTAAGCTGGAAAATATGAATTATTACTCACAAAAGGTAAAGTAAAGTAATAAAGATCTATAAAAGTTAAATCAAATGCTTAGTGGTTACTTTTCAAAGATTTTAACATCCATTTGAAAAAGTCTTAGAAAAGTGTTACATCTGCAAAATTCAAGATTAGTATAGTGTGTGTAACAAAGAAAAATAAAGTCGGTGGGTGGAAGGGAAACGACTAGGAAACTTATTTCCCCTTTGTATGGTTGGAACAAATATTTGTCAAATTTCAAATAGATTAAACATCCTATTCCATATATTATACGTAATCGTTCTCAATATATCGGAGTTATTTACTCGCATAATATTGAGTCGAGTTAAAGTCTAAATATACGGAACAACCATATAAGCCTGTGGCGGGACTGTATCTTTATA